TCAATGTAAGCAGTGGGATTTTTTGTTGTTTGGTGTTTTTTGGGTCTACTGGCCTTGGTCTGTGGAGTGGTGCAGCCAGGATTCTCAAATCTCTATTGTCTGTAATGGTTCAGTGGTAGGTTCACTCTTCTACTAGGCAAAGGTGATGTCTTGGTAGGATTTTGTATATTGGTGATCCCTTTTTGCCCTGAGGGCCTGTGGCCTTCAGCCTAAAGCTGTGGCAAGCAAGGAAGCAAATGCAAATGCAAAAAAAAAAAAGAATGCAAAAAGACATTACAAAGACAGAGGAAGAAGAAAAGACCAAGATGAATGTCAGAAGAGACTCTGGGTATTGCACTAGAATGCTGAGAAGCCAAAGCAAAGGGAAGAAAATAAGAAGTTAAGGAGCTGATCGGAAGATTTCAAAAGGAAGCATGGGAAGACAAAGTAAAGTAATAAAATAAAATGTGCAAAGAACCAGAGTTTAAAAATCAAAAGGGATGAACTTGCTCAGAATTTCTTAAGTTTAGGAAATGAAGAATAAGTTTAAACTTCAAGTTGAGGCTCAAGTTAAAATGCTGAGTGCAGAATGTTGAATGACCCAGGAAGTATCAAAAGAAGATGGAAGGCGTACGCAAAGTCACTATACCAAAAATAATTGACTGACATAGAAGAATTTCATGAAACAACATATGATCAAGAGTCAATGGTAATGAAGGAAGACGTTTAAGTGGCTCTGAAGGAATTGAGAGGGGGGATAAAGCCCCAGGAATAGATGGAATACCAACTGACATATTCCAGCAAACAGATGCTGCCCTGGATGGCAAGAAATCTGGAAAACAACTACCTTGCCAACTGACTGGAAGAAATCTATATTTCCATTCAAAAAAAGGTGACTCGACAAAGTGTGGAAATTATTGAATATCACTAATATCATACAGAAGCAACATCCTGCTGAAGATGATAAATAAATTGTGTAACAATATATAAGCAGAGAACTGTCAGATGTGCAAGCTGGGTTTAGAAGAGGCCATAGCAGCAGGGAAATCATAGTCAATGTTAGATGGATCTTGGCCAAAAGCAGAGAGTACCAGAGGAATGTCTGTGTTTCATTGACTATGCAAAGGCATTTGACTGTGTGGATCACAGCAAATTGTGACTAACCTTGAGAAAAATGGGGATCCCAGAACACTTAATTGTGCTTATGCGAAACCTATACTTGGACCAGGAAGCAGTCCTCAGAACACAGCAGGGAAACACTGCCTGGTGCATCAGGGATGCATCCTATCTCCATACCTTTTTAGTCTATATGCAGATAATAGATCATTCAGAAGGCTGGGCTTTATGAGAAGGAATGTGGTGCCAGGATTAGAAGAAGACTCATTAACAACCTGCATTATGCAGATGACACTAATTTGCTTGCTGAAATTGAGGAGGACCTGAGCGTTTGCTGCAGACGGTCAAGGACTGTAGTCTTCAATACAGACTGAAGCTCAACTCAAGGAAACAAAGATTCTCTCCATTGGTCCAACTGGCAGCTTTCTAATGGACGGAGAAGAGATTGAGATTGTTAACAATTTCAGCTTGCTTGGTTCCACAATTAACATTCTTGGCCCTGGCAGCCGGGAGGGGGGGGAGGAACACCACAAAAAACCAACTTGCATTGTGGAAGTCTGCTGTCAGGGACCTCTCTAGAATACTGAGGAGCAATGATGTGAATCTGGAGACTAAGGTGCGCCAGATACAGGCCATGGTCTTCACAATTACTTGCTATGCATCAGATAGGTGGGCAATAACTAAGGATGACAGAAGAAGGATCGATGTCTCTGTGTTGTGGTGCTGGAGAAGAGTGTTGAACATACTGTGGACTGCCAAGAGAACAAATAGGTCTGTCCTGGAGAGGGTGAAACCATGCTACTCTCTTGAGGCAAGGATTTTGAAGCTCTATCTCATGTACTTTGGGCATGTGACCAGACTCGTCCTTGGAGAAGAACATCACGGTTGGAAGTGTGGAGGGACAGCGTAGGAGAGGAAGACCCAGGATGAGATGGATTGACTCAATGACTAGAGAAATGGGATTAAGTCTGTAGGAGATGATGAGATTGGCTCAGGATAGGGCAGGGTTCAAAGTGAATGTACATATAGGGTATATATAGTGAATGTACATATGAGTCACAGGCGACTCCATGGCACTTCGCAACAATAACAATAATGGAAACAGTATCCAAGAACAACAAACTATGTGCGTATATATATCTATGGGACAATCTCCTCTCATGATATTTATTGCCTCTGAAAATCTGCTCTAGGATCAAGGATGGGTCGGTTCTGACTAAATGGTACACAATAACAACAACAAATATATCTACGCCTATTTGTTCCTATCCCAAAGAAAGGTGACCCAACAGAATGTGGAAACTACAGAACAATCTCACTGATTTCACATGCAAGCAAGATTTTACTGAAGAT